CTTTCCCTTCCTCTTATCCTGTTTGCCTTACGATGGTTAAAATGAAACAATTCATTGCTGCTGAAGCTTTTCCATTAAAAGACAGACTTTCCCTGCCTGTAATTAAGGGAGGTTAGAAAGTTTAAGTAACTGAAGATTGGCAGAACATTCCATATTGTTTTCCAGTGAACTTCATAAAGCTTTAGGCATAAATCATTTGAAAAGAAAATTATTCTTTCTGTCAGGATTTGTTACACAGGAAATATGTTCAGACCCTTGTGTTTGCTTCATAGATTGCATAGTTACTACAAGTCCACTGCAAACCTGTCAGATGTGTCCAGAGTGGAAATCTACTGTTAGCTCTATCCCTTCCACTGACGTGTTTCCATTTGATTTAGGTTCTGCTTACGAAGTGCAAACAACAATTACAGTCGTGTCTGGTCTGTGCTACAACAAAGTTGAGCCCAGGCAGCATGGAAAAAGTCAAAGTTCTACCCAAGGTCTTTTTCTCATTAAAAACATGTTTATTAATCTGTGTACAGCATGGCTAAATCATGTTGTAAATCAAACAACTACAAACATATTTAAGCCAAGGTAGAGACAACTGCTAAAAATTGTTTTGTGCTCTCCTGGAGTCTTTTTCCATGGCCCCCCTAATTAAAAATTTACTTACCATGACAATTAAATGTTCTAGCTAATTAAGAAGAAAAAAAACATGTTTGCAGAAATTTGCCAAACTACATAGAAAAAACTAGCGAATGTTTCCATTATTCTGAAACAAATCGTTTGCTGATATACAGTTACATTAAAAGAAACTTTTTTTTTTGCTTAAACTGGAAATTTTTATGAAAAATGATGTTTCTGGTGACAGCTGCATTACAAATCACTTTTATTCTTTTTGTTTTGGAGCAGGGGACTTTCATAATTTGCCTTGTATTCCTTCCAATGATTACTGAGACCGTAAGACCAAAGCTGGAGTTTCTCATCATAAACCCAATCATCATTCTCTTTTCTTTTCACAAAATGAAGGACCTTCCTGAAATTTCACATGCCACATCCCATCCCAGAATAGTGTTTGCCAAAGATCCATGGCAAAAATCAAAGACCTAAAATCCAGTGCAATAGGGTTTTTGGAGTGTCAGACTCCACTGAAACACAATCTTAACTTTAACTCTCCCTTCAAAAATGTATATTTCTCTTACAAATATGATATGACTCAGACTCCTACAACTTTCACCCTTACAAGGAATTCAGAAGTTGCTTGGACTTTGGCATCTGCGTTTCTCAAACGTACTTTTATTGTGAAGAATCACTGGGAAGCATTTACTAAATGATCCCAGACAACCGGCTGGACAATGCATTGTTTTTTTAAATGTTAATTTATAGCTTGGATTGGGTGCTAGCAAAATTTTAGTAGAAAATTAACCATTTCTTGGTTTTCCTTGCAAGACTAAGCTTACTTCTCTTTTTTTCCCGCTTTCCTGAGCACTGCAGCACCTAGTCGTTATAATTATACATTTATAATTATATATACAATTACATTATTACTTGGAGGCTTCAACCAGGTTGATGCCCAATGTATTAACACACTGAACCAACATATATATCACTGTTATCCAGTGATAGCAGTCTGTGCCCAAGAGAGATTACAATCATGTGAGTACTTTAACCTTGAATGGCTTCTTAGTTGCAGTAGGAGTGTAAGTACTAGTGCGTCCAGATTGGCAAAGAGGGGAAAAAAGCAAGAGCTCTTGGTCTGAAATACATCCATTGCTGTCATAGGAGAAGTATGTTATCTAATGATTTACTCTAAGGGAATTAAACAGAGGGAACTGTCTGCTGGAACAATTATCACTACAATTGCATTTCTAAGCCAATGTTTTCCTTCTCTCCAGACAGTAAAAAGCAGTTTGAATTCCAGGCTAGACTTCTGATCATTCTCTAAAATAAGCCATAGTAAAGGTTTTATTAAAAAAAAAATTATAGTGTGAGAGGCAGTCTGCTTTGTAACTGTTATATGCTGACACTTGTCTTGGACATCTTAGCAGATAGATGATGAGTTTAGTCAGCATGAAGACCCACTTTTCCTCCCAGTGATGGTACCTCCAGAATGAAGCTGGAGCCCATTAGTCTACAAGAGTCAGGTCTATTGATGCCTGATCTGGGAATAAACAGAGGACCTCACTCTCCAGCTGCTATTCCCTATTTTCATGAGCTGTTCACTCACTCAAAAAAGCAGGGTTTAGATAAACTAAAACAGCAACGGTGTTCTTTCAGTCTCCATCTCTGTGAGACTGACTTGGACATATTTACTCTGACCCCACTCAGTTAAAAAGAGTATGACAGTAAAATATAGTTATATTTATACAGAGTTGCACATGGGCTGATAAACTCTACTAATCAGCACCAACTGGCTATAGCACTTCTGGTTCAGGAGCTAGTGCAAGGTATTCTACATTGCACCACTCTGTTGTATAGCCATGCCTAAGTAACACTGGCCAAATGCAGAGAAGCCTGTAAGAACAAGTAAGGACAACTCTACCTTAAAAGTTTTAGACAAAATCTCAGCAGTTCCTTCTGGATGTTATAAATGGAGCTGGTAGTGCTATCAGTAGTTAAAATTGCCTGATACTTCTATTATAAGAACCTTTTTCTAGTAGCTTATAAAACTTTCTTACACTTACGTTAAGCCTCAAATTTTCCATGACTCCGGCTAATTACTTTTTTTTGGAACAGTTCAGCTGTTTCTGCAAATTAACTGAGGTAATCATACACTTTTTTTGTTCATAATAAAAAAATCCCGGTAGCTTTTTTTTTTTTTTTTAATGAGAAGCTCACTCAACTCTGTGCTCTAATTTTTGGCGAGGGAGTTGCCTTTACATCAGGGATGTAACTTGAGTTGTTCCTGTGAAAATCTTTGGCCACTGAAAAATCTTGGGTTGTACATGCTCAGTCAAGAATTGTTAGAGTTTGGTAGCCAAATTATCCACCACTTGTATGGGGCATAATAAAGCCCAGGGCTGCAGGGGCTGAGCAGGATTTTCTATTTAGCTGCTGCTTCCTGAAGCCAGGACCTGCTTTGATGTCAGGTACTGGCACTGACAGCAAGGAGACTTGTTGTCTAAGGTCTTGATGACTGACCCTGCTGCTACACAGGTAGTGTACAGAAGGAGGACAAAGAAGCCTGACTGAAATGCTAAAGGATAAAGATGCAGGCTCTGGAGAAAAAGAAAGATGGAGAGAATGGGCTGGGTGATGGATCTGGGGTGGGAAACTAGGACAGGCAGCTGGGAACCGAGAGCATACAGCCAAGAGAGGGACTGGGAAGCAAAAGCAGGAAAGCACTGTTGGGGGAGAAGGGATACAGATTGCCTTGGAAGCTAGAAGCAGCCAAAAGAAAATGTCATGACTGCCAAAGAGACTGGGAAAGTAGCCTGGAGGGAGAGTGGAACTGACAATGAGTGTGGAGGGAAGACATGCATTCAAGTATGGAGCCCAATAGGAGAAACCAAAATTCGGTGGCAAGGAGACTGCAGTGGGGATAGGTTGGGTGGACATAAACAGAAAGGGCCATAAAGAAACAGAGACAGAAGGCAGGCAGTCTGTGACCACCTGAACATACTTCTCTCCAGAATCTGGAATTGAAACCACAAGTGGTAATTGCAACATTGCTCTGCTGTTAAGAAATAGCAATTACATTTACAGGTGAAGAGTATCATTCCCTTCTGCTGCTAGCCCCATAGGGATGGCAACTTATCACTGCTATCAGTTACTCAGTTAGCTCAAGTGGCAGACGTCTGTTCAGTGGTTCCAAAAGTTTCAGTCCTGCCACTGCCCAGGTCACTGCTGATACAATGACACAAAATGTAATTTGTTTTTTCAATTTATTATTTTTTTAGAAATTACACAGACACATGCGCTAAGTCTTATGTTAAAAGGTTCCTATTAAAGTGACATCAGTCACCCAGAACTTAGAAAATACATTTCCTAATTTTTCAATCCTTTGACACTGCAATATTTTTGATAACAGTCTTCAAATACCTGAAGGGTGATGATAGAGAGAATGGAGGAGTTTTTCTGTCTGCCCACAGGGGACAGGATTAGGAACAATGGATTCAAGCTGCAGCAGAGGAAATTTAGGTTGGAGATTAGAAGGAACTTTTTGACTATGAGGTTGGTCAAATTATCTAGAACAGGTTACCCACAGAAGCTGTGAATCTCCATCCCTGGTACTTTTCAAGAGCACCGGGATACTTGATACAGATACTTGGTTGGGATGATCCTGCCTTGAGCAAAGGTCTGGATTAGATGACGTTGCAAGGTCCCTTCCAGCCATACTTCCCTATGGTCCTATGAACCTTAATAATACTCTGTTAACAAAGAGAGTCTATGTGTGTCTGTAACTTTCAAAGGTGCCTGATTTAAAAGATTAATGATACATAAAAATACAATTCAATCCCCTTATAAAACTAAACCCCAGTCCACTGCTACATCATAATGAAAAATACGATCTTCTGGCTGGGATAGTTAAAAGCAGGGTGTTGCTATTGCTTGATTGTTCTATGCTGTTTTTGAGGACATCAGCCTACTTCCTGCAGGTTGTGGGAATTCTTAGCCTACAAAACCTCCCACTGCTATCCAGTATTCTAGCTTCCTTGTCATCTTTCAACAGTTCAAGAACAAACTTTCCATAACCAAACCCAGCACTGTTCATAAGGAACTGCTCAGACACAGAGCTCAATATTTTGTGCTTTAAATGTGAAAAAACATAACATTTTCTTGAGGAGCTATGAGGGCACCTGCCATTGGGTTACACAGGGCCCTGGACTGCAGTTAGGAGTTACATGGATTTTTGCAGTGCTTAAAGCTTATTTTATTACCTGTGGCTCCTTGTCATGTTTGCTGGGATCCTTCTCATAGCTTTCCGCATAGATCCTGATGGTACCTCGCACACTACTAGATGCACTGAGTCTGAAGGTGAGCCTGGAAGCATCTGAGAAAATAATTCGCAGCCCCTGTGGAACAGAACATATGAACATCAGCCACGACTTTAAAAAATCGTAGCCCATTGCTTAGAAGCGTGATCTGGGTTCAGTTCCTGCCTCTTGCTGTTTTGTAACTTAAAGCAATTCAGTGAATCATTCTACAAGTCAGTTTCCCTAGAGTAAGGTAGGAGCGAGAACACTTCCTTTATTCCACACTTTAGAGCAAGAACCTTCTCACTGCATGAATGTATAGTGCTGAGCCCAATGGAAACCTAATATCCACTGAGTCTTATAAGTGCTACAGAAAATTTTGTACTGCTAATATAAAAAAAAAACAATGTAAAAGCTTTATTGGGGTCTTTATATTCCAGCTGCCTTGCTGTTGCTGAAATTCTCTTATGTCCCACCCTGCCACTGCAATCAAAAGGGTAGCATGATGTATAATACAGGTTTCCCTCACTGACCACTGGGGTTAGGTTCCTGAAAGTTCCCATGGGTGGCAAAACTGTGGCTGGCAAGACAAAAGGCTTATGGGAAAAATGGCAGGTGACGGACTGATGCGCAGCCACGGAAAACCATGGTTACTCAGAACTGTATACTGTGGTAGCCAAAATGGTATATAAAATATTAAGCATGTATACTCAAAACCATGGCTGGCAAAACTGTGGTTAGTCAGGGAAACCTGTACTAGCACTAGATAAGGCACAGTGGAACACAGCAGTTGATGAACCCAACGGCTTGCAAAGCAATTAAGGGGTTCTGTGTCCCAAAGAAAGCAGTCAGTGGAGTTAAATACAGGAAACTACATTTTTTTTATTTCTCACAGAATATGCATCAAGGGGTGGTTATGAGTTGGCAGGGCACATTTAAAATGAATTAGTTCAAGCAGTGGGGGCCTTGCACCCTCCCCAAGTGCTACTCTGATCCCCTGCCTGATCTGCTGCTCTGCTTTCTGCTCCTTTCCCTATCTGCCACTGTGCTGCCTGCAAAACAAAGGGCTAAGTTCTTCCCTAACTCCCTGGGAATGCCTTGGGTATAAATGTGGGTCAAATTTGCCCAAAGGCTGGTAGGCATAATTTTATACTTACCAGCCTTGGTTGCCTTAACTGAGCAAACAGCTAAAGATGAAAGAGGTGATATAAAATATGGGAGGAGATTTTCCAGCATAACTATGTGGATGGAAGCCTCACACACAGACACCTAAAGCCAGAGAAACCACAGCCTGGCCCTGCAAACAACATCATAAAATACTGCCCCAAAATTATACCTTTCTAGTCAGACATTTCAGCGGTACTGAGGGAGTTACTGATTGAGGTGCTTTACTTTTTTCACATCAGGTGGAAATGAAGGAAGTGTACAAGAGCCCCTTATCAAGTATATTTCCTTTAGGGCCAGATATAGAAATTACACTTTTACCAGTATAAGTGATCAGAAATTAGTCTATATCTGTAACAGAACAGAAGTTTGCACACATAGATTGGTTTAGAAACGGCAGAACTCGGTCTAAGATCCCTCCCCACCCTCCCCTCACCAAGAACAAATGTCAGTTCTGTTCACTACCAATCTAAACTATGCTGCTTACAGAAAACTGTGTAGCTTAAACCAATCCTGCTGTGGGCTTTTTGAATGTCTGCACCTAGCCCAAAAGATAACACCTCTCAGAACTAGTAATTCTGTGAGAAGCTGTATTAAAAGTTTCCAGCTACTGTAATTCCCTCTCCTAAGCAAGGCTACCTCTTTTAGCCTTACCTTCTGAGACTTTGTGATGTTCAGTGTGAAAGCAGCTGTAAAGTAAATGCCTGTTCTGATTATGATTTCTAGCATGTATTATATGGTAACATATGGGCAACATACCTTTGATGGTTTAATCACAATTTGCTAGCATGGTAACTGAATAGGTAACATTAAACTGAAAACTCTTTGGGCAGCGACCATTTTTTTATTCTGTGTCTATACAGTACCTTGCACAGTTAGGTGCATCTCCATGCCTAGCACTTTTAGATACTACACAAGTGTAAATAAATAATGAACAACATTGGCCAATCTACAGTTATTGGAACGTTATGGTTAGCATCATACCAATTGACTTTGTTTTGTACAACTCTATTCAAACACACAGAAAACTTTGTACCAGCCTTCTCTGTCTGTCAACACACTGCTTGGCTTCTTAGGAAGCAAGAGTAATTCCAAGGAATGGGAAGATCTGGATAGAGATGTAGACTAGGTCATTTGTCTTCCTGGTTTGAAAAACACTTCCCTTTTCAGACAGGTACAGAAGCCTTCAAATGGTTCCGATTTTTTCTTCATTCAAATACTTTCTTTTCTTACTTACATTTAGAAAAGGGTTGCATTTTCATATTTTATCACATACAACATGCTCCCAAATATACAATACACCTTATTTTTAAAAGGCAGAATGAAGAAAAAAAGATTCTTCCAGAGTTATGGCTGCATAGAGCAGGGGCAGTCTAATTTTCTCAGATAACGTCCACTGTATGGCCAGCGAATATTATCTCAGGTGAAGCCTGCAGTTCAGATCACTGGGAAGAGTCACCCTCCATTTCCTGCATAACAATCTCTAGCTGCTGCCGGAAACTGGTTGTACTGGGTGGCTCTATGATTTTGAAGACCTAAAGAGCTAAATGTCTGAGCTAAAGAAGCTGTGAAACAGGCCAGAGGCAGCTAGCAGATAGCTAGATGTTAAAAGAACATCTAGACCATTAAAAAGGAGAAATGATTGTTAATAACTCTAGAGTGAAAAACAATTAGCCATTAGGTCAAATGATTCCCTCAGCTGCCTGAACTGTAATACCACAATTGCTACAGTGTGGAACAGGAATCTAAACAGGGTGTTTCCAACCCCAAGCAGAAAATCAGGTTCAATTTTAGGGAGGAAAGGTATGTGTCATAGGTAAGAAAATACAGAATTAGCTACTATTGTTGTTGTTGTTATTATTCCTGATATATACCACTGATGCTCTTCTAAGGTGCCATTTAGCCTCA